GTTTTATTAAGTGAACTGCAACTTGCACTTCTGAATTGCAGTTTTAACTTGTATCTCTGGGTTGCAACTTATACAAATGAAATGTGATTCGTCTAAATGAAATGCAACTTGTGTGAATGAGATGCAGGTGAAATAAATTAAATGCAATTTATATAAATGAAATGCTATTTGTGTGAATGAAATGCAATTTTTATAAATGCAATGCAGTTTATATAAATGGAATGCAACTTAAATAAATTAAATGCGACGTATGTGAATAAAATGCAATTTGTAAAAATTAAATGGAACTTATGTGAATGCAATGCAGTCAGATAAACGAAATGCATTTTATATGAATGGAATGCAATTTATATAAATGTAATGCAACTTATGTGATTGAAATGCAATTTAAATAAATAAAATGCAGTTGATATAAATAGAATGCAACTATAATAAATGAAATGCAGTTTAAGTGACCAGAATGCAATTTAAATAAATAAAATGCAATTTATATGAATGAAATGCAACTAAAATAAAAAATAGCAGTAAACAAAAACAAATAAAAAATAACTAAGTGTAAAATAAATCGAATAGTAAGCTAAATAATAGACAGTAGTAATATGAGCCTGGTTTGCCGAGTGGCCAATAAAATGGAAATTACGTAGATCTTCTAATATCGCCGCACAGTAGCGGATGTGGCGATGTGAACCGAAAGACATCAAGATTTCACGGTAATGAAATCCACCATCTGACAGTGGGCCAAAGTAATGTCGAGGTCCAACGAAACTTTTCTTATTTCCAAAATGAACTCGTCACCTTTCTCATCGATCTCGGCATCCAACCACCCCATTCCCAGCGCTATAACGTCGAGCTTGCGTCACTCTCGAAGAATCAAATTAAAGTTTGATTTTTCCCTGAAAGAACCTACCTACCGCAAGAGACTCCCAACTTCTCGCTACAACTTTCACCGACAAACTCATTGATTACAGGGCCAGACGTATTTTTGCGTTTAATGATTGATGCCGGATGCGCGACAGAAGGATGCGATATTGTGTTTCGATCGAATGGAACCGATAATTTAGGCGGACGAGAGACTCTGTGGAAAAGTTTCGAGAGATGGAAAATGGACTGAGATGTAGGCTATGCTGGATAGGGATGTGAAATGTAAACTTGGGGGTTTTTAAGTTTGTATATTTTTATGTTTGAGAGTTTTTGGGTTTTCTAGTTTTCTGGTTTCGGAATTTTCTAATTTTACAATTTCCCAATTTGTCAATTTCGCAATTTCCCAATTTCCCAATTTCTCGATTTCTCAATTTCTCAATTTCCCAATTTCCCAATTTCCCAATCACCCAATCTCCCAAGCACCCAATCTCCCAATCACCCAATCTCCCAATCACCCAGTTTCCCAAGCACCCAATATCCCAAGCACCCAATTTCCCAAGCACCCAATTTCCCAAGCACCCAATTTCCCAAGCACCCAATTTCTCAAGCACACAATTTCCCAATCACCCAATTTCCCAATTACCCAATTTCCCAATCACCCAATTTCCCAAGCACCCGATTTCCCGAGCACTCAATTTCCCAATCACCCAATTTCCCAATTTTCCAATCACCCAATTTCTCACTCACTCAATTTTCCAATTTCCCAACTTCTCAATTTTCCTATTTCCCAATTTCCCAATTTTCCAATCATCATCAGCTCCAATCAATTTCACTTTGATCGAATCAATTTATATATCTATTATCAGCGAAAGCCTGCGTTCACCAATGAAAGATTTACTCTTCAAGTGGCAGCTATACTTCTTTCTTTTCTCCAGGCACACGAACTTCGTGAATAACGATTGCGATTAAGAACGAAAAGCCATTGTTTACGAAACAAACTACCGCTCTTTTCGGACTTTTCCCCGTTCTCTCTCTCTCTCTTTCATTTTATGAACTCTCTCTCGCCGTCTCTATTTTTCGTTTTTTCCGACTCTCTCACTTTTTCGTTTTTTTTCTGCTCTCTCACTCTTTCTTTTATTTTTTTGCTCTCTCTCTCTCTTCTATTTTTCTACTCCCTCACTTTTTCTTTTATTTTTTTGCTCTCTCTCTCTTTTTCTCTCTTTCTCTGTTGTTTGACTGCTCTTTTTCTCTGTCTCTCTCTCTGTCTCTTCTGTTTTTTCCAGCTCTTTCTCTCTTGTTTTTTAGCTATTTCTTTCTTCTTCATTTTTCCAGCTCTCCCTATTTTTTCTCCTTCTCACGTTCTCAACTCTAGCCCTCTTTCGTTACTTCCAGTTTTCCCTCCCTCTCACCCCTTCATTTTTCCCCTCTCTCTGCTCCTCTCACATTTTTTCAACTGTGTCTATCTCTCTCCTTCTTCTGTTCTCAACTCTATCCTCCTTTCAATACATTCAGCTCTCCTTCTATCTCATCCCTTCATTTTTCACCTCTCTCTGTCACTCAGACATTTTTTTCAACTGTACCTATCTCTCTTCTTCTTCTGTTCTCAACTCTTTCCCTCTTTCAATACATTCAGCTCTCCTCCTCCCTCACCCTTTCATTCTTCACCTCTCTCTCCCTCCCCCATTTTTTGCAACTCTCTCCTATTCTCAACTCTATGCCCCCCACATTTTTTCAGCTCTCCCTACGCCTCTCCCTATCTCGCATTCTCAACTCTATCCTCCCCTCCCTTTCCATCCCTCTATTTCAAGCATCGAAATAGATGCGTTCACTGCGAATCCGTAACGGAAGTATCTCGCGCCCCGGTGTGTGTGCACTTTGCGAAAACAATTGAACCGGCGATATCATAAATTTCGCGGAGATTTTTATGCGCAGTTTTTGGCCTTTTTATCGCGTTCACCGGCCAGATCCTCGCGCGATTCTATTGTCCGTTTCCTTCGGCCTTTTCCGACCCGGTGATTCATGGACGCTTTACCCAGGTGAACTTGAATGCCTGAAACACTCGGTTTAATGCCGAAACAGATATACCGCCGGAAACCTTCGCCCGGAGAATTCACCCTTTTCACTTAATTGCTGAAAATTCCGACCGATGATCACCCAAGAGAAAACACCTCAACAATGGAACTGCCACCGGCCTCCGAGTCACTTCATTTCGGTCTTGTCTTAAATTACGGAATTTTTGTTTGTCGCTTTACCCTATGGAAAACTCTACCGACTTTTCGGGAAGATCAACGGTAATTGGACGTCCTGTTTCGTCTTCCGTTTTAGAAGGTTTTGTGCTTCACTTTACTGTTGCGTATTTTTTTAGGTTATGGCTCGTTTTGTGCTTTTTTGTTTTTCTATTTATTTTTCTTCTCTAAAGCTGTGTTGCTTTTTTTGTTTAGTCATTTTTATATTTTCTGATTGATTTTATGTTTAGTCCTTTTTTAGGTTATGGCTCGTTTTGTGCTTTTTTGTTTTTTTTTTTTATTTTTCTTCTCTAAAGCTATGTTGCTTTTTTGTTTAATCGGGTTTGTATTTTCTAATTGATTTTATGTTTCTTCTTTTTTTAGGTTATGACTCGTTTTGTGCTTTTTTGTTTTTTTATTTATTTTTCTACTCTAAAGCTCTGTTGCTTTTTTGTTCAGTCAGGTTTATATTTTCTGATTGATTTTATGTTCAGTCCTTTTTTAGGTTATGGCTCGTTTTGTGCTTCTTCATTTCTTTATTTATTTCTTTAGTGTAGATTTCTGTTTCTTCGGTTTTTAGCTTTGTTTTATATTTTATTTTCTGATTTTTCTAATTCATGTTGCCTTTTTGCTTATACGGGTTTATATTTTGTGATCGATTTTCTGTTCGATCTTTTTTCTAGGTTATGGCTCGTTTTGTGCTTCATCAGTTTTTTAATCATTCTTTCTAGTGTATGTTTCATTTTTTTCATTTTTTAACTTTGTTTTATACTGTATTTTCTCATTTTTCTAACTCATGTTGCAGTTTCTGTTTATTCATTATCTTTTAGATCATTTTTATACGTTATGATACGTTTTGCGTCTCTTCATTTCAATATTTTATCTTCCACTTTATGTTTGTTCATTTCTGTCACTACAAATTTCATTTTCTACTTACTATTCCTTTATATTCAATTAAAAATCGAACATCGTTGTACAGAAACTTATTTACTGATTATCAGAGATACAACAATGCTGTGAAGTTGTGCATTCTAGAGAAGATATCGAGTGCACCAGGTGCATTGTGTAATTTTTCGCAGGAAGAAGCAAGATATTTTTTTTTATCGGCATCGATTATAAATAGCAGGCGTGAAAAGATGCTGGAGTCAGCGGGGTCGAACGTGACCGAACAATGATCTTTTCAAAAGATTTTACGGCAACTTGCTAACAAAATTGAATAACCAAGCGTACCAACTCTTTTCCTGCCACGTTCAAACTTTACGTATCTATCATCCAATTATGTTCGTACGATAGTTCGCGCATTGTTAGTCGATCTTTTAATAAATCGGGAAAATTCGAGTATTACTCTTTTGTAGACAGGTATTGTTCCGGATAAAAGTATTACAGTGAGTTAAGTAATGGATATTTCAGGAGGGTGTGAATATTTTTTTTTCAAAAAAAAAGTGCGAGTCACTGGAGTATAGTAAGAGTGAGTTTAATTTTCTGCTTTTCAATCTAGTTTTTCAGGGACGTGGCTCCACTGGGACCCATAGTTACCCCTCGCACAAATGAAATTTTTTTCGTATCGTATGAAATAACTAAACCGTATAAAGCCCTGCGGATCTTATTAAAAGTTTCGATAACGCAAAAAAACTATTTTGTGTAGAAAATAAACCATAGAATAAAATTGACTGGAAACGTTTTAGGTTAAATTAGCGGAGGATTTTAAAGGAGACGTGACTCCCATTTAGATTCTTTAGTCTACAAATTCAATAAGTAATTGATACATTAAAAGCTCTACTCTATTATCATTGATATTAGTTTCTCAGATACATGCTAATGAAATTACATAACACAGACATCATCCTCCAGTTCAAATTTGCAGACAATCATGGTATCCGAATGTCACTAAAACGAGACGATGCTATGTTTCAGGTTGCTCTTGCGTCGTCTACAGCAGCTCGGACAGACCTCAAGGTGGCACATTCACATCCCCTTATTATCCTAAACGATATCCATCGAACATCGATTGCCTGCTTTATACGTTTATCGGTCAACCCGACGAAATCGTCAAGCTGACGTTCCATCACTTCAATATCCGACGTGTTCGACCCGAGTGAGTAATCTACTAAAAACCAAACTTTGAACTTCACAAAATAAAAAATTTGAAAACTCGTAAGTTAGAGAGTTACCGAATAAAAAAATAGTAAAAAGCCGCAAATTTTATACAAACATTTACAGTGAATTAAAGATAATCCTAACGTTGAAAATTGCAAATTGTTTATAAACAATAGTAAAAAGTATATTTGGTAAACAAAGGTTTAAAGCAAGTAGATCTGCCTTGCAGGTGAGTGTACATCGACACATTTTATTTATGTACGATATGTTAACCGATAATAACTGCAATAATAATTAAACGATTAAATTATCCGTCACTGTTGCATAATATCTTCCTTTCTCGCGGTTCAGATATAACATTAAATACGAATTAAGTAACGTGACGCATTGAACAGGATTGAATAATGCATGAAGCTTAATTAGCATCACAATTTGATGTTACAATATTTAATAAATATTTCAGCCTAAATAACAGCATATAATATGCAAAAATTGATTTATCAATTAATTTGTTGCCGCGTGAAAATTAAATGGGCGGTGTTAAATTTTTGATAAATATCTTCATAAACAATTTGCATTAATAATTGATCCCTTATCTGTCGGCGATAATTCGATGCGATGAAAGATGCAGGGTAAAACTCTAATTATGAAAGATAATTAAATCAAGGACGAAGGCTCACTTATTACAAAAATTACGATAACAGTTCAGTGTACACTGAATTGAAATTAAAAAGAATTGTAAAATTTTTAAGAATATAAATTTCTACAGTGAACCTAATTATGAGAGATAAATAAATCGACCAAGAAAAATTCTCAAGTTATTATAAAAATTATAATAACAATTTACGTAGTTCAACGTGTAGTAATTCGACGCGCGGTAATTCGACGCGAAGTAGATCCACGAGTGGTAATTCGACGCGTGGTAGTTCGACGCGTGGTAATTCGACGCGTGGTAGTTCGACGCGTGGTAATTCGACGCGTGGTAGTTCGACGCGTGGTAATTCGACGCGTGGTAGTTCGACGCGTGGTAATTCGACGCGTGGTAGTTCGACGCGTGGTAATTCGACGCGTGGTAATTCGACGCGTGGTAATTCAACGCGTGGTAGTTCGACGCGTGGTATTTCGAGGCGTGGTAGTTCGACGCGTGGTAATTCGACGCGTGGTAATTCGACGCGTGGTAATTCGACGCGTGGTAATTCGACGCGTGGTAATTCGACGCGTGGTAATTCGACGCGTGGTAATTCGACGCGTGGTAATTCGACGCGTGGTAATTCGACGCGTGGTAATTCGACGCGTGGTAATTCGACGCGTGGTAATTCGACGCGTGGTAATTCGACGCGTGGTAATTCGACGCGTGGTAATTCGACGCGTGGTAATTCGACGCGTGGTAATTCGACGCGTGGTAATTCGACGCGTGGTAATTCGACGCGTGGTAATTCGACGCGTGGTAATTCGACGCGTGGTAATTCGACGCGTGGTAATTCGACGCGTGGTAATTCGACGCGTGGTAATTCGACGCGTGGTAATTCGACGCGTGGTAATTCGACGCGTGGTAATTCGACGCGTGGTAATTCGACGCGTGGTAATTCGACGCGTGGTAATTCGACGCGTGGTAATTCGACGCGTGGTAATTCGACGCGTGGTAATTCGACGCGTGGTAATTCGACGCGTGGTAATTCGACGCGTGGTAATTCGACGCGTGGTAATTCGACGCGTGGTAATTCGACGCGTGGTAATTCGACGCGTGGTAATTCGACGCGTGGTAATTCGACGCGTGGTAATTCGACGCGTGGTAATTCGACGCGTGGTAATTCGACGCGTGGTAATTCGACGCGTGGTAATTCGACGCGTGGTAATTCGACGCGTGGTAATTCGACGCGTGGTAATTCGACGCGTGGTAATTCGACGCGTGGTAATTCGACGCGTGGTAATTCGACGCGTGGTAATTCGACGCGTGGTAATTCGACGCGTGGTAATTCGACGCGTGGTAATTCGACGCGTGGTAATTCGACGCGTAGTAGCTCCACGCGTGGTAATTCTATGCGTGGTAATTTGACGCGTTGTAATTCTACAGGTGGTAATTCGATCCGTGGAAATTTGACGCGTGGTAATTCAATACGTAGTAATTCGACGGCGTAAATAAAATTTACGTGATATGATTGTCAATCATTGCTAGAATTAAAGACGTCTATCCTACGTATTCTATTTACCGTCTCTAAATACATTCGTATTTAACTTTCTGCGTAATAATTCAGCCGAATAAATACTGGAGACGTTCCTTAATTAATTAATATTGTAATTTCAATTAAATTAATTAACGTCCAAACTTCGTTAGTCCAATGAAAAGGTTCCCTCGAACTTTGACTGCTATCACAGGTACAAATTACCTTAAATTTATGCTGCAGTCTTGACTGGGACAAAAGGAGAGACATCGGTCAAATAAAGTTCTGTAGAGTGTACGTTTCGGAGAACCCTATGATATTTCATTGTTGCTTTCCATAGATTCACAGAACGATGTTAGAGTTGTGACATTCCTTAATTGAAAAGGTAAAATATAACCAAAGAATCAACAAAATAAAAGAAATCGAAAACTTGAAAGATTGTAAAATTTGAAAATCTCACATTAGAAATCTACAATAAAAATTTTATCAAATTTCTGTTAATAATTAGTAACATACATTTAATTTTTAATTCGAATTATGCTAATGTTAAAATAACCCGACCCATCACGTTCCGACAATGCACCGTTTTTCCATCGGCATTAAAGTTATTTCACTTACGAATTAATTAACATAATGCCCGTAATGAAGATCGCGCCAACGAAAACAGGCTATTACGTTGCATCTCTATTAGAGAGGAGCATTAACTCTCGCGGATTTAGCGAAGAGCAGGAAGTTTCATTTATTAAAACAGATGCAAGATTCCGTTTGAGATACGGTGAATCCGCTTTGAAAACTAACACAATGACACGATGGGCTACGTGTCTCGCAGTTTATCGAGTATCGCGCACGAAAAGGAGCTTAAAATGGGAGAACCGTGTAATTCCTTCCTTTGTCCGATTCCGGTGAAGGTCGAAGAATAAAAAAAAAGAAAGGGGGGAAGAAAATAAGGCTTGGCACGATCTCAGAAATTCTTCCTTTTTCCACCTAGCGTCAGAAATCATCGAAAATGTCGACTTTGAATCGAATTTCGTCACGTGAACGCACGACACGGTTTTCCTTTTTCTTCGAACTCGCAGCGTAGCTTCTGCGATATTACAGATATTTGGCTCTTACGGAGGATTGTGAGGGGATTCATAACCTAAATGGTGGGGGTGGAATTTGGGAGAGCCGAAATTTGATGTAGGAGATGATAATTTAGATATTTGGGAATTTGGATATGTAGATACTTGAGTAGCATATGTGGATATGGGGATATGTTGCTATTTGCTTATGTGAATACGTAGATATGTGGATGTGTGGATAGCTGGATGTATGGATAGGTAGATGTATGGATATATTGCTATTTGCATATGTGGATGTGTGGATATGTGGATATGTTGCTATTTGCATATGTGGATATGTAAATATGTAGACGCCTGGATAGCTACATGTGTGGATAGGTAGATGTGTGGATATATTTCCATTTTCATATGTGGATGTGTGGATATGTGGATATGTGTATATGTGAATATATTACTATTTGCATATGTGGACTTAAATTTAAAAAGTTCACTTTCTCGACCTACGGTGCACCATAGTATTCACAGAACTGAGATACCATCCCAACATGGTGGATATCTTATCGATTCAAACTCCCCATAGAACACAATTTCATCATCAATACACATCTTTTCCCATCCCCATTCTTCTATGAAGCACTTAGAAATTCGTCGCGTAACGACCGTTTCGCGGAATTGAATTCGAAATGCGATTCGTCCCTCGACGAAGACGAGCCGGCGTGTCGGTGACTTATGGCGGTTTTTCTCTGTTCGCGAGCAGACGCGGAAACGAAGGGAACAGGCTAGCCAATTTGTAGCTACGTTACCTGCTCGTGCACACGTGCAAATCCGCCCTGACAAAACGACCCTTCGACCTGTAATAAGGATTCTCCGTTGACAAGCTTTAAAGGGGATTTCTGTCTCGGGATGAACTCTCGAGTCCCACCAGATTCCATTTTTATTTTTATTTCTGCGGTAGCTCTGATCTATGGGGCTCCGACATCTTTAACAGTCACGCCGTATCGTCACATCGCTGTAATATATATTCTAGTTTCACGAGTTGTAGTTTCATCTTCTGATTTTCTTTTCGTAATTCAGCTTTTGGTTGTTGGAAGATCGAGACGTCTTAACTGGGAATTAGGAGCTTGAGGATTCTTTTTGGCGCACTTAAGCTGTAGCGAATTTTTATCGTTACTGGTAATTAAGCTTAATGGTTACACTGTTTTGTGGAGCTTTTAATGGAAATTGATGAAACGGTGGTTTGTAGCTTTCTAGGGGATTTAGTGATTGTAGGGTTGTATTTTGTTTGAAAATATTTTTCGGTGTATGTAGAGACTTATATGACTTGGTCATATGTGCAAAACAGCAAAATATTCACTTATTCTCACATCCACCTATCCACACATCCACATGTCTACATATCCACACATCTACCTATTACACATCCACAAAACTACATATTCACATAGTCACATATCCACGCATCCACATATTTACATAGGAATTCGGAGCGTGGGAATTCGATACGTAGAAATTCAGAGCGTTGGAAGAGGATACGTAGAAACTCGGAGCGTGGGAATTCGATATGTAAGAATTCGATGCGATAAAATTTGACGCGTGGAATATGATATGTAGGAATTCGGCGCGCTGAAATTCGACGCATAGAATTTCGATACGTAGGAATTCGGTGCGTGGGAATTCGATGGGATAAAATTTGACGCGTGCTAATTCGATACGTAGGAATTCGGTGCGCTGAAATTCGATGCGTCAGAATTCCACGAGTGGAAATTCGATACGTA